ACACAAAAAGATTTAAGTGTAGTTGAGTAATTAAATTTCATTATAGTAAGCATAATTTAATCATTAAAATGAATGATAAGAAAGATAGTAGTTAAGATTAATAACATATGTGTACATGAATACAGATTAATGTATGTATTCTGTATGTTTCAGGACAACAAGAATCTCGTGTAACAGTCAACTCATATTTAGTAGTCGATAAACACCCGATTCCTCGCTTCTCCGATTTAAGTACCCAACTGACCGGGGAAAAAGTTTTTACAAAATTAGACATGGCCCTAGCATATAAGCAACTGCTAGTCGGTGAGGAGTCAAAGAAGTTGCTCACCTTGTCAGCACACAAGAGATTGTTTGTGTGCTACCGTCTGCTGTACGGTATAGCATCAGCACCGTGGTTGTTTCAGCGAGAAATTGAAGAAATTTTGCTTGGTATTAAAGGTGTCTCTGCTTATTTTGACGACATTTTCATAGCAGGTAAAAATTAAGGGGAACATGATGTCAAATTAAAGGAGGTTTAAGTAAGATTTAAAAGGAGTCTATTAACGCTCAAAGTTAATATTGTGGGAAGTTGCGTCATTAAAAATTGCCTTTCTGGGAGTAGAACTAGGTGAAGACGGAATCAAAGTAAGTGAGATGAAAACAAACGTGATCACATCGGTGAAAAGGCTGACTGGAGTCATGGAGCTAAGATATTTTTTAGGTATTATAAGGATTAATTTTTAGTTCATAAAAGATTACGCAAGTATAGTTGCTCCATTATACGAGTTGTTGTGCAAGGACGTGAAATGGAAGTGGACGCATGCAACAGAAAAGGCGTTTGAAGATGCAAAAAAATCGCTAATACCCCCTCAAGTACTTGTACACTATAGTACATAAGTACCTATTAAACTTACATGTGATGTATCTCCAAAAGGCTTAGGGACAGTCTTATCTCTTGTATATGAAAATAGTAAAGCTAAACCAATTGCGTTTGATTCCAGAATATTGACACCACTGGAGTGAGATTACTCCCAATTTTATCGTGAAGTGTTAGCAGTAGTTCTCAGTGCTTAGGTTTTCCACCAATATTTGTATGGTAGAAAACTTTTACTCAAAATGGACCACAAGCATTTAACTTTCATCTTCGGTTCTAAAAAGGGGCTACCACAAATGGCAGCATCAAGAGTTCAGTGTTGGGCAATTTTCCTATCCAGGTACGACTTTAATATTCGATGTATCAAAGGTTCTAAAAACGGTCCAATGGATGCTCTTTCTCACATGTTGCTAAAGGAAGTTCAAAATCTGAACGCTAACAATGAAGATGAATGTACGTTTCTTAATTTTTTTGATAGTGTGAAGCCGATTGATGTGGCACAAATTCGCAGTGAAGCAGCGAACGATAGAACGTTCATCGTGGTGTACGATTACTTATATAATGGCTGGGCAGATGGTTCTGATAAGAGTTTAAACGCGTATAAGGTACGGCAACTCAAACTAACAGTGGAGGAAGGCTGCGTAACGTGGGGCAATTGGGTGGTCATTCCTTACAACCTCAAACGATGAGGTAATTGCATGATAGTTACTGGGGTATAACTAAAATGAAAACTTTGGCAAGGTCTTACATGTAGTAGCTTCACATGGACGCAGACATCGAGTGCCTAGCAAAAGCATGTAAATTGTGTGTGAAAACTGAAGGCAACCCGAGATGATCGGAGCTGCATGTGTTTGAGTGGCCTGAGGGCCTAAGTTAACGTGTGCACATTGATTTTTGTGGACTTTTGAAAGGGCACATGTATATTGTAATGACTGTTGCATACTAAAAATGGGTAGATGTGCGAGAAATGCGTTTCCGATAACGGTCTTACTTTTACATCTACTGAATTCAAATTGTTCCTAGAGAAAAGTGGTGTAAAGCAATCATTGTCAGCTTAATATCACTTCTCGTCTAATGGCATTGTGGAAAACGTGTTTTAAAAATAAGTACAAATTTTTGATACAAATAAAAATGCCTTGACATAAAGCGCTCGCTAAGTACTTACTCTCTTACTGTACGACTACACATTGTGTTCAAAGGTTCGAATTAAATTAGTTAGTTTATAGGATGAGATTAGCTTCACGTATCAACCCTTAGTTGTTATTGAGATTTTGTGTGCAATAGTTATGTCTAAGAAATTTATAAAATGTTTTACTGAAATTCGCAAGTGATTGTCCTAATTATTTAAAGTCTCAAGACTTTTTACTTGGTTTTTATGTATACATATTAGTGTATCATTAGCATACCACTTATAGAATAAAGGAACACAGTTATGTTATCGTGTCACAACCACAGAGTATCTGTCTCAAGATCTTCTAAAACTAAATCGGCAAATAGGAGGAAATCAGGAGAGTTCATTGGGCTACTAAAAGAAGATCAATAAAATTTTGTATTCACAGTGAAGTGAACATTTTAAAATAAATTCTAAGTACATTCTTCGATTTCATGATAAAAATTTGTGAAGATCTATGGATTTGTATATGTCTTTGGTACAAACTGTTAATAATTGATGCTAAGGAATTATTGGTGAATAAAAAAGTAACTTCTTAACAAATAAAAACATAGTTGGCAGGCATTTTTAGAATCCGAGTTTGATTTGAAATAGTAGCAGTTTTAAAAGATCTTTAGACAGAGACTCTGCAATCGTCATACGAAAACCAAAATTGCGTTATTTTGATTTATGAGCGGTATGTTCATGATACACTGATATGTATACATAAAGACTAAGTTAAACTATTTCTAGATACTTTAAATAAAAAGGACTATCGCTTAAAATTCACTTTCAAATTTCCGTAACACAATTGAATGAATTTCTTAGACATTACAATTACACACAAAATTTTAACGACAACTACAGATTAGTATGTGAAGCCAATCTCATTGAATTTTATGTCTGTAAAGGTAAAATTAATGTACAATATGATTGGTCAAACTATTATTTTGTCAAATCATTCTGTTCATAAGAAAAATATTTTAGTGACTAAAATAATCTTACTTGATAATAGCCATACACCATTTTTCAAACTGAAATCTATTCATAAATGAGTTTGCTAAATAAAAATACTTTTAGAGTAAATAATGAAAGTTGAAATCATGACAATTAAAGTACGAAAATAAATATTTCTATTCCTTGTAATCCATTGTTTTTTACATTCTGCTCAAAAGCTTTAAAAAACTGTTACGTATAATTTCATCTAACTATCATATTAAATTAAATAATATTATCATTTTAGGCTAGGATAAAATAAACAAGCTTAATTGAACTAACGTTCTAATCATTTTACTTGCAATTCTTGATTGGTATCGTATATGGGTGAGACAAGGAGAGCCTTAAAAAACGTCTTGAAAAATAAAGTAAAACAAAGAAAGATAAACTTGTCATCGCTCTAAATAAAAAATTTTTCATTATAATTGAAATTTTTTTCAAAATAAAGTCTTGGACCACAAACCAAATGGACATAATAGATAAATATCCAACATTCTGTATATAAAGCCAATCAAACACATAATCTTTGATGTATATTCTTTTTTGATACTCTATCGTGAATATGTTGGTTCTCTGTATTCATGGTAAGCGTACATCTGTGACTTTTGTGTTGTTATGCATATATACTGGATACTTATATTTGTTTAACTTGATCTACAATATCTGGTATATATCTAACAATCTAACAATCGTGGTAACCATATAGATGTGAGTAATTTAAAAAAAAATTTTTTTTTTAAGTTAATGATTTATGTATAAGTTTTTTTCATAGAATTGTTTTTTTTACAACTATTTTTATGTATATTATTTTCTGTAAGAACATTTATGTACAAGTGGCCTGCAATGAAATGGATTAAAGTTTGTTTGTTTTCTAATTATTAAGTAAGCCTAAAAAGGTTCGGGTGGAGACTTCCGAAACGTTTTCAAGATAACATTAAGCATTTTACAGTTTCTAGTCTTACAAGTGTATAGACTTTCCTAGTTGTTATTAACCATTTTTATTTAATTTTAATTATTGCAACAGGTATTTTTACGCATCTTTAAATTTTGCGTTTCTTTCCTTTTTTGTTTGTTAAAAGAATGTACAAATATTTTTATTGTTTTAAAGGCCTTATTCTTGCCTTCAACTGTGGAAGAAACAGTGGCTGTATTTAATTTTGCTTTTAATTCAATACTCATCGAAACATTTCGCAAAAAACCAAGAAAACCGATTTTTAAGTTATTTTAAAATACTAAAAAACGGTACAATTTTTGCTATAATAGACACTTCAGAAAGTTAGTCTACACATTTTTCATCTAATTTTAAGTCAAGTATCGTATTGTTAGAAATGATCCTGAGTCTTCCCATTCTCTTGGCACCCTCACTACATTTAATGAGCTCCAAGTTCATGTCCTGAATAAAAAGTACATCACTCATCTAGAAAAAAAATAAAGAATGTCTTAAATCACAGGCAATTCTTAAGCATGCGACCTGAGGAATCTTTTTTCTCACATGAACTGTATTTTATTTTTTGTCAATCCTGTGACGGGAGACAGAATATTATTTCCATGAAGTGGGACAAGAGTTCTGTTGTTTGGCGTAGTATAGAGAAAAAAAACTATGTAACTTAGAATTTTAGGCACCTTCCTTCTTCTTAACTAGTTTTAATGTAACTCATGAGTAACAGCCAATCTCTTTACTATCCAAGTCTTATAACCAGAAATCATGTTAGATTCTCTAAGCTGAGCTTGCCTACTCGCAACCCCCATAAGATACTTTGATAACTGACATCTTTAGTAAGATTGTACATAATAAAAAATTACAAATCGTATGTTCGTACCTTATTTCAACAGCTTTTATTTGTCTTAGGCTTACCATAGAATGAGCATGCAGTAAAAGTACTATACTGAAAATTGACTACTTGATTTTTTAAATTACTATTTTACAATAATAGATAGTTTATTTTTATGACACTACTGTATGCATTTCATTGTTAATTAAGGATTAATAAAGGAACTCACCCATAGCATCTTGCCTCATACTTGTTACAGCGGACATATTTGCTGCTGAGTGAGACATTGTAAATGGTTGAGTCATACTTGGATAAGATGTCGAGCTCATCTGAAAAAGATTAACATTTTCTTGCTTTGCATAAATTTAATTGAAGTAAAAAGCCCTGCATTTAATAACACTCGTATTTTAAAAAAAAATGTAATAAAATAGTTAACGTCATACATTATTATAAAAACTGTGTAATAGTTACTATAATTCCCAGACGGCATCCACAAATCATAAAGAATTTTTTATGAATTCACCAAGGAACTTGTTTTTGTATTCGTAAAGTGTTCCTAAAGTGTTCTTAGAGTATTCCTATAATATTCAACTTATGCCCCCTCTTTTGAATTCTTTACAAGTTCGCCAAGAGTCCTTTTTTTTAAAATCTTAATCCATAAAGAGTTTTTAAAGTATTCATTTGGATCCCACGGTACTTAAAAATTAAACTTAAATAAAAATTTATTTCGTTAACAAGTCGGTTTCTTCTGTACACACTTACTCACTCCGGTTTTGGATATACATTAATATCCGAAAAAAAGTCTGCAGACAAGTGGAATCGAACCCAGGTAGCTAGAGCCCGCGTGAGACCCAAACACGCTTCACCACTCGGCTATCGAGGATTCGGAAATTCCCTAATATTAAACGCCTACATTAACTATTTAGAAAAACTATGATTCTCTGTTATTTTAATTCCCTCTTATGATTAAGAAATTCTGTGAAAAATCTCTCTGCTCTTCTCGCTTATGGACAACGCTATCTTATAACTTCTTATTACACGCGCACTTATCTCTATAGATTATAGCAACGTTGTACGATCTGGATTATGTATTATTGTAAGTACATGATCTTATAATGCAAATTATAAAATAAAGTCTTCGGACGTTTAAAAAAAATTATTTTTCACACAAATAAATACCAAATTGAGATTGCAAAATAAATCGTACAATCATAGCGAGCTTCCATATTTAGGACAAGCTTTGGAGCTTCACCATGAACATGATTAACTTTCGACCTTAAGACTCCCAGTGCTTTCGTAGCACAGGTGGCTCGCACGCGTGTCTATCGTTTCGTTTTTGCATTCTCGGGTTTGAATCTCAGTATGGAAGATGACTTTTTTGTTTGTTTCAGTGGTCTTGCTGGTTATTCTGTATTTTTTACTCGACAAACTCTATTATTATTAATACTTATGCAGAAATTTAAATTTAAATTAAATATTAAATACCTTAAATAATTTTATTTTCATTGTCCAATAAGCTCCAGATTGTATTTTTGTATCTTATACATATTTCTTCATTTAACTCTTATTCGATTCATATAAATAAGTTTTTTGCTATTTCGAGAAAAAAATAATAAATAGGATGTCGTATAAAAATTTTTCTTATAACTTAATAATAATTCTTCAGATGTATTTTGAATTTAAGCGATAGCTTATTTCGTGTCGTTTTAGTTGTTAAAAAGTGAAGCACTGTTAAAAAACCATAAAAAATTCACGCACAAACGAAAAAAGTCTCAAAATGATATCTCATTTAAGTTTCATTCATTTTTTGTAGTAACAGGCAAAAATCAATTGAGTAGTGCACCATAATAAACTTTTACTACCTTAGAACATATTTAATTTTTACTTACGTGTCTACCTAATTAATAGTAATTGATGACTTCAAGTAAAAAAAATTAATGAATAAATAATAAGGCCTTCAAAGTGATTTAAAAAAAAAACAGATCATATGGACGAAGAGTCGAGTCCAAGAATGCAAAAATTAAACGATGAACTTGCAAGCGAGCCATCTGCGTTAAGGGGAAGCTGTGTAAGCTACAGTCAAAAGTCACTTATATTTATAACAAAACTCCAAAGCTTGTCCTGAACATCGCTGGGGCTCACTGGAATTATTATATTTGTTTTGCAATCTCAACTTGGTATGTGTTCGTATTAAAAATAATTTCGATTACACGTGCAAAAACTTTAAATAATAAACTTCATCGTCACAAGAAAACTCTGTGAAATTACATCACCGTAACTGCAACCTTTCTTCAGTACACACCTTAAATTTTTTTCCACCCTAACAAGAATTAAATAAAATGATATAAAATTATGTACTTCACAATCATAGATGAGTAGAAAGATTTANCTTCATCGTCACAAGAAAACTCTGTGAAATTACATCACCGTAACTGCAACCTTTCTTCAGTACACACCTTAAATTTTTTTCCACCCTAACAAGAATTAAATAAAATGATATAAAATTATGTACTTCACAATCATAGATGAGTAGAAAGATTTATTAATTTTACTTATCATAAGCTGTAAGCCAAGCTCCGGAGGTTGTTGATGTACATATGTGACTTTTAAACTATCATCACACAGTGTCTCGATAGCTCAGACGGTTAAGGCTTATACCTATGGGGAGATTATTTTGCAATGCTGGGTTCGATCCTCATTGTCACCATCATTTTTTTTTTTTTTTTTTTTTTTTTTTTTTTTTTTTTTTTTTTTTTTTTT